GCCGTCTTGCCGTTGTCTTCCTGCGTCCTCTTCCGTTCTTCTCCAACCGTTCCGTCTTCTCCACGTGCGCCTGGATCCTCGGCCTCTTCTCTTCCTCGCCTGGCTACCGGCGCCTCTGACTACGCCCACCGTTGCGAAAACGTCCCTTGCACTTTAACCGAATACTCGTGCAAGTTCCTCGCTCGTTGCTACTTCTACTTTTACAAGCCAGAACGTATTAAATGTTTCCTTCACAACGGGTAACATTTACTTCCCGTGTTGTTAATTGAAGAACACTACTTAATCTGCACTATCTCGCGGACGACTAACTAGAACGTCTGTTCGACGCCGAAATACTCCTACTAGTAGTCGTTGGCAACGGCAAACAATATCTAATGTTTAACGAAAATGTTGACTCGTCGAACGGTTATCAAAGAGCAGCTGCTTACTCGACGCGTAGGTGACCAGAAAAAGAGAGCTTCCGCTTGCGGGTTCGCGTATTATGTGCGGCGCCTGGGGAAATTTGTGATGGGAGGTTGCTTCCCCTTCTCAACCCTTCACAAAGAAAAACATAGCTCGCTAGTTCGCATTCGTTTAGTGCGGGCAACGGATACCAGGCCGCGCGTTTAAGTACCTCTGCCTTACGCGTCTGTTATACCTCGCTGCTTCCGTAGTGTTCACACATGGGACGGTGGTGTTATGGGTTGCACAACCATAACGCCACGTTATATATATATATATATTATTATATATAATATTAATATATATATAGATATACTATATAATATATATATATATATAATCGTGATTGCTTTCGAATTCAACTTCAAAAAAATGAAGATGAATTTTCACTTAAATGAAACTGAATTCTAATTCTAGTTATTGCACAAACTGCTGAACCAGCCAATCGTTTCTTCATGATTTCATAAATTACTTTGATCAACATTCTAATGTAACGTCAGTTCCAAAATGTAACACGAGTTGAAGTTCCGTTCACAAGGACCTGCTGAATGAGTTGAATATGAGTGCCTAATGCTTATAAGCTAAAAAACATTAAAGCTGCGTAGCTGCGTTGCCGTTGTCTGTGCAATGGCGCTGGCGAGTGGAGTGGTGCTGGATTTGATTGCGGACTGCGGTGGATGCCATTGCCGCCTGTTCGCCTTTTCTTATCTACGGTATTCTAGTTCAACACATCACCACCTTGCTCAAAATTAAATAGTTCCAAGAAATATATTTTTTATTCCAAACTATAAATGAAAAAATATATATTTCTGACATTGAATACCTTGTATAAAACGTGCAGTGTTCTCAGGAACATATAGTATTAACATATAATAGTAAATATTAAACACTATGGAATTGTACAAATATATAATCATTACCGTCATTATCTCCTGTTATCAGTGCGGCGTTATAACAATGGGTGACACCAACAGGACACAATAAACAACAATGACCGTCCACCTGATCGTTTCCATATTTAACACAATTAAAGAATGCAATTTAAAATTAAATATAAATATAATAATAATATTAAAATGAAATATGAAATAATATATTTATTTCAAATAGGTTTTAAATACTATTTAAAAGATTTTTTTGTAAGCGTATAACAAAATCTACAACGTAAGAAACTAACAAAGAAATATTAAATAATACACTTTCTAACTTACGTAGCATGCAGCCACAGTATGCGTATATATAAAGTTGCGCTGCTATGTCCGTGTTTGGGGGTATTTTAAACTTGCCCAATCGAGGCTCCTTTTCGTTTCTCGTCTATCTCTTATACAATTCGTGTGATTGAAGTCTAGTTTGCACTATTCAATTTTTCGTAAAGTGTTCTATTAGTGCACGGAACATCAAGACTGAGAACGAAATTTAATAATTTTGCAAATTTGTCAGGTAATGGGGGGGGGTATTTTAAACTTGCTCAATCGAGGCTTCTTTTTGATTCTCGTCTATCTCCTAATCAATTCGTCTGATTGAAGTCTAGTTTGTACCATTCAATTTTTCGTAAAGTGTTCTATTAGTACACGGAATATCAAAACGGGGAACGAAAATTAATATTTTTGAAAATTTGTCACGTTATGGGGGGGGGTATTTTAAACTTGCTCAATCGAGGCTCCTTCTCGTTTCTCGTCTATCTCTTATACAATTCGTGTGATTGAAGTCTAGTTTGCACCATATAAATTTTCGCCAAGTGTTCTATTAGTACACGGAATATCAAAACGGAGAACAAAAATTAATATTTTTGCAAATTTGTCACGTAATGGGGGGTATTTTAAACTTGCTCAATCGTGGCTCCTTTTCGTTTCTCGTCTATCTCCTAAACAATTCGTCTGATTGAAGTCTAGTTTGTATTATTAAAATCAATTTCAAACTTTTTATTAATACGTACTATATGAGAAGAAAATTTGTGCCAGGTAGTTCACATCATGCATAAAATTAAAAAATACGCCCACCACGGGGTAAAAATAATTTTCAGTGTAGCTGTTTCAATATTATTTGTAATAGGTTTGACACTATATTTATTTTTATACTTCTAATAAATGTCTAAGGACAACATTCGTTCACTTGTTTCATAATTTGATTTTGACAATGTAAACTACTGAAATTGAGAAGGTGAAATAAGACTTCGTTACTCGAAAGCATTTGTGTAAGAATTGGTAAAAGTCATATTTGGTGGTAACATTGTGCATTGCAACCGAACAATTTTTGTTTGGCCACCCGAACGTACACGAGCCAAATTTGAGAGAAATAATCCCAGTGACATTTCTTTGTTTCATATTTCGTTTTAAACAATTTCACTTTTAGATAATATCTTTGTGCGCACGCATATACGTGAATCTGTGGAGTTGTATGATTTTTATCAATACGAACGATACTTTAATACAATAAATTCCAAATTTGAATTGAATTTCAGCCACTTTTCACACTTTTAACTTGTTTCTAATTTTAATTATCTCTCCTATACTAAATGTAGAGTTGACCTTTGAAAGATTTCCTGCTCCACTGACTATTTATATAAGATTAACTCTTAACGGAACACGACCCTCAATTGTAGCCAAATGAGAACTAGATTATCAACTCGACTTCATAGAACTTATTTTCAATCAATACAACATTGTAATAAATATATTTTATCAGAGACATTTATTTATATAGTTATTTCTTAAATGCCATTGTAATTATTGAAGTACAAAGTAACTATGAGAAAATGAAATGAGAAAAAGTGCTAGAATTCAAACAATATTTTTGATTTCTTTTCACAATTTTTACATTGTTTGCTTGGAAAGTTGCGTGTGTAGTGTCCGTATCGTAGAGGAATATTTTGCCATAATATGTTAAATAATATCTTAATATGAGATTTATTGAAACGAAATTCTGTTTTACTTCATTTGCTTGTAAAATAAGCGATACACCCAAAAAGTAATTAATATCAAAGTATATTGCCATTGAAATTAATTACACACTCAACGTTTCATAAGTCGCGCTTGTTTAGATGTATAAACATTTTTAAGCAAGAGTTTTGAAAAACAAATTAAATAAAAACGTTTAAAATTAAAACCTTCAGTTTATAACCTTTTAAAGAATCAGTTGCTTACAGTACGAATTTTGAGAAGAATTTTGAAATGTTATTCTCTCATTTCATTTCACGAGTACTATTAGTAGTTTTCATTTAAGTTCAGGTCGTGATAACGAAAGTGAACTTGTTTCGGAGGTCGCTAATAACCATGTTGAAAAGCCATTTCAAATACATAAATAAATAAATAAATAAATAAATAAATAGATAACTAACTAACTAACTAACTAACTAACTAAATAAATAAATAAATAAATAAATAAATAAATAAATAAATAAGTAACTAACTAAATAAATAAATCATATACAAATAATTAAAAACACAGAAGTAAATAAAAATAAATACATGTGTGCGTCGTCCTTTCACCCCTATCATCATTATTTCATCTTCCATACCCGTAGGGCTAACAATTCCGGGGGATAAAAATAGGATCTATGTAAATGCTGATTCCATGATAAATTACATGAACCTGCCACCGAGATATAAGCCCCGGTACGTGCATCGTGCATGCACGGGTGGTCCAAGTTGGCCCATTCGCGAGCAAAATAAATAAATGAAATTCTCCTGTTCCTTACTAATTATTTTAACTTGCAGGTAGGCACCAATTCTAACGGATTCAGACCCCTTCGGCCCGCCCAAACAATTGGACAATATTGAAATAAAAACTGACATAAATGAAACGTTTGGAAGACAGTGGAAATCACTTGCAGATGGCAAATCAGATAGATATAATCAGCTAAATCAGGATATCACTAAACCATGTCCATCCCAAACGAACACCTCAAAAACGGAGCAGCGATGCAAAGCTCAAAATGCCAAGGATGCCCATTCCTGACAATGAATAATCTATTGTATCCATGCCCTTGAAAGGCCACACGGCCGATCAAGAAGAAAATACATGAAAAAAAGGGTTTGGTTTTCAGTTCAAAAAACAGAGTATCCTACCACCATTTTCACAACCTTGTTGGGCTTTTACCACTTCCAATTGAGACTTTGTGTCTTTTTATTAGAAATTTACCCATTTTGAAATTTAAAGCCTACATTGCAGGATGATGGGAAGTTACTGCGACAAAAATACCTTCGATTATTTGTTGGATTTCATCAAGGATGTTAGATACTGTGAAAATAAAAATTGGAAATTTAAAAGAATCTAAAATATTATGCTTAACTGTCGCTTCTATGCGGGCGATGTAAACCGGCTGCCTCGCCACCACTGACCCTGCAGTGCCTGCAATGGCGTTGGGCGTTGCCTCATTTCTTCGTGTTGTCATGAAACTGTGGATTTCGTCTTGTCTATGACGGAAACATGCCACGCGCTAGAAAAGCGGGTCTGCGGTTTTGCGGCCGACGCTTTGAACTGCGATCCTGCAAGTGATTTTTAAACCTAGAAGACAATACTTGAAGAAACAAATTATCGTCGAGAATTATTTTCGACCCATGGTTGTTTCGAGATGGTATGGGAGAGAAGGGTTGGTGGAAACAAACATCTGGGAACTGCGACCGAAAAATGGCGTGGGCAATATCTGCCGTCGTGATTCAATGTTAGTAGCTCCCCGGATAGGCTACTTGCCACATTGAAATTTTCGTGATTTGCTCGTCTGGTATTCATGCTCTTCCAAAGACCTATGCGCTTCGTTTCTACTGCTGAAGCATCGTCGTCCTGACCAAAAATCCCGGATTCGGCTCAGCTTGGATTCGGGAGTACTAGAAGAGCTTAGCGGGTTCGAGAGGCGTGGGCTGTAAGTATTAAAATGGATAAATTTCTAATAAAAAGAACAAATTCTCTATTGGAAGTCGTAAAAGCTCAGTGAGGCTGTGCAGGCGGCGGTAGGTTACTCTGCTGTTTAAACTGAAAATCAAACCCTAAGAAAAACGTTAGGGTCGAGGACATGCGACACGGACCGCATACTTCATACACACACTACACACACTACACGTATTTTCAAGTTGACGCTTCTAAACTGTAACCAGAAATGAGAAGTTATATTCTTACATACACTTCTTTTATCATATCCTGGTTTTCTTATTTCTTTTGAAATTATCGGGGAAATGATTAATCTTGACAAATAGGACAAGACATGTTACTTATTTATCAATTGTTGACAATTTAGTCCATTTGTTTTATCTGCTGCAAAGCAACAACAAATGTAACAACAAAAATATTATATTTGAGGCAGCCAACATTTTTCTTGCAAACATCTTAAGAGAAATTGATATATCATCGATGAACAAGCATAGAAAGTTACAACAAAAATATCAATTAAATTGCATGTTAAAATGTTTGTTTCAATAAAAAATGGATTTAATGACCGTCATTGTGATGAATCAAGTCACAACAATTCATATAAATATGAGACAAAGAGTATTTCACAGCGTTTCACCAATGTACCTGTAGAAGCTTTGAAACAATCAAAAACAAGCGTTTCCCTAGAATTTTTCCGGAATATCGTAGAAGAAAACAGATTAAGTACCAATTTATTTCTCTTGCTTTGAAGAACCGAATGAGCCTCTAAAAAGGAGATAAATCACCAAAAACATATTTTAGTTAAAAATTTAAACAACAAAAAAGTTTTTAAAAATATTTTGTCTTAAAATCTTCTGGATGGATCAACAAAAATGGATGGATCAACAAATCTCATTTGTCTGGGTTGGTGAACCAGAATGAGTCTAGACGGACGAACAAACGGACGAACGGGCAGAGGTAATTCGATTCCTATAGAAGGATATTCCAAAGTATATGCATCATCCGTACGTATTCAGTAGATATACTAACATTTTTTTTGGGGGGGGGTACTATTGTGCAATTTTTGAAAGTGAAATTAATGTGCCTGTGCTGGTCCTGCAGGAGCGTCGGTGGGCGCGTGCGAGGTGCCGTCGGCGGCGGCGTGGGCGGTCGGGAGCGCGTGCTGCGGCTTCCACGTGGCCGGCGCCGTGCCCTGGCGCCTGGTGGCCCTGCCCGCGCCGCGCCGCAGCAGCTTCCTCCTGCGGGGCGCCGCGCCCGCGCTGCCAGGTCACTAGTCACCCCCGCACCCTCTCACACGCGCTTTCCTTTCAAATTCGTTCTATTTTGACTGTAAAAAGGACCGGTAATTGAAAGATTAGTAAATATAGTCTAATATTTTATTTACAAACTGTTTATTAATTCCAATTGACTAATTAATAATGTTTAAATTAATGGTGACTAATACACGAGTTACCATTAAATCAATTTTTTTATGTTTATCCTTTAATTTAGATTTTTTTTTCAAAAAAGACACCACCTTAAATGTTTTGTGAAGTCGCTCTTGTAATGAGGCGATTTTCCCCGCTTGAAGAATATCATCAAGGATACACGGATTTTTTAGTTAAATCTTGTAAAAGGCAAATGAAAGGTGGCGGAACCGCAAGGAGGAAGGAGATGCGAGGGGGCGCAAATGTTCCATTTGCGCCAAGAAATAGAAATAGACGCACAAATCGTGATGGTTAGTTGGAATTGTGGAGATTATTTTCTTGATATATTCTTTTATTGAGTTCTCTAAATATATACAATGATCCTACGGTATGAAATAGTAGTTGCTTACTTATGCTTAGAACAGAAATTGAGTATTTGGCGTACGAATAAAATGTTGACATGGCAATTTCAAAAGACTATGCAAATTACACTTTTGCAAGTTGCAAACATTATTTTCTAGTATGGGTTCATGGAAATGTACAAGTATTTTCTCTTTTGGTCATTCTCAGTATGCGATAGGGCAGCCATGTAGATTCATGCCGCCCCAGTGGTTTATTTGCTTTGTCGTACTCAATTGTTTGATGTGGCGTGGCCTTCTCCATCGTACGTGCACAATAAAGTCGACTTCGCCGTGGGGGCTTCGCTAAGTAACACTTTACACATTTAAGACAAGTACTAGTTTCAATGCATAAGTGCTGAAAGATACCATTTAAGTAAGGTACCTTGTTAAGGAACCGTGTATTTTTATATCCTGTCACACTAGGTGATATAGTCTATTTTAACGATTTTTAGGTCACATTCATCAGCGCTCAGTTTTATGAAGAAATGATGTTATTCTGAAATGTATTTTATGTAAGCAACGAAAAGGAATTCAAATTTTTCACGGATACGGCACCAAAAGCCAGTATCCCACTGACTCAACGAGTGAAAAAGCCTCTTCGGAAGTTGTTGGCAACGCGCCTCTGCAGCTGAAAGACTTTTCTGGTGCACGCTCTTCCGTTGACGAGCAGTTGCAGTTCGGCGCGGACGCACAGGCACCTACGTTTTCGGCGAAGTCATAGGCTTTTTAGGGCAAAATGAATGTCTTAAACGCATATTTTTCATGTTTTAAGCCATAAAGTCATATTTTATTTGAGCAATTTTTAGATTCTAAAAATCATAATTTTAAACGTGACAAGTTTGCATCGTTAATGGTTCATGAACCAACTACATCCATTGAAGTTGAATAAAATTCAAATTAATGCTACCAAAAATTATTATATTTGGAAATAGATTTTTCGGGGTGATATTGGATATCCTCGCAAAATTCCTTTAACGACAGTGCACACCTTGACATTCAAATTAGACGTAGGTTTCCTAAAGTCTGAACTGAAATTATTCTATCCTATTTGAATATTAAATACATATGTTTAGTATTGCATGATAATCCTCAATTCTCTTGCTATTGCATTGGAAAATATTTCAAAGTTCTATAATACTAAGTGTCACATTTACGAGAGGATGTCAAAACACCTCCTCTGACATTTAAGAGGTCCCAAAAATCCCTAGAAAATAAACTTCAATATTCAACGTTACAAGATCTGTACAACAGGAGAACTCTTTGATGTAGGGCGTTTAATCTCACACAGTATCAGGTCCTCGAATATGAGGCGGTTTCCTAACATGAGATCCATCGCTGGACGGTCTCGCTGCGTAGCAGACACCCTCGCAATTAGTTGAGCATACGACTACGAGGTGTTTGACGCTATGTGAGTACTATGTGAGGTTTTGTAAACAACTTTCCTCTTGAGCTTTTTGCTCCACGTTCTTCTTTCAAATTTTTTGAAGTCAAGATGGTCTTTTCATAGAATTATATGATAGCCAATAAGTTTAAGTGTACACTTGCCTATTTACAATATAGTGTACAGAGAATATAACTTGAAATATTTGCTTTGAATTCAGCCAAGTGCTAGCTCTCAATATTCGACCTCGAGGGGACCTGTGGGTTGGATTCAGGGGATATGGTACAGTGGCGATAATGTATGAAATGCTGCAAGTGGGCACATGAAGATTGTGAAGCAGATGACTTCTTTATCAATCGATAGTCCACTAAGTAAATGAACACATCGCAAAAACGATACTTTGTTGTTATTAATAATAATAATAATAATAATAATAATATATTATTGAGATAAAATAAACGGAATTTATGATAACTTTTAGTTTACATAAACCGACAATACAAATGTGTATGTATAATTCTATTCGTGCTTCATGAAACAAAAACAGTTGAGTTCCAACTTAGTCGATTTATAATAGAAGATCATATTAGAGTCAATTTTTTCAATCATCAAAGTCATTATTTTAGTTTAATTTTACTAACTGTTTAAGATTACAGACTATTTTCATTTTAAAATGATATAACTTTTAATATAATAAAAACTATTTTAATGTATTAGAAAAGTTTGCCATATTTGTAAGTATTTCCCACGTGATATTCAAATTACAAATGGAAACGGAAACTTTCCACGACTCCGGGGAAACCTGCGTGTGCTAACCCTGCGGAAGCGTCTGCGATCGATACCAAATGCAGCAGTGTAAATTGAGCAGCAGTGCAGCAGTGCAGCAGTGCAGGTTGTCAATCGACCAGTATGCACGGATGAACAGTGCCTCTGTGACTTCGTGATGGCCTTTAACTGTGATATTCATTTTCTTTTATTGCCTTACTTTCTGCAGAGAGATTGCACTCGTGTGCGTTTTTCAGTATAATATTTTTTCAGTGTAATAAGTTACAAACGGAACGGGGTGTCGTACAGCATGAATCCCAAACCAAAATTTATCATGTAGCAACTGTCAAATCCCTTCCCATTAAATCTAACAGCCTTGTTTCGCGTGTTTGCCTTGAAGAAAACGCCTTCAGCTGGAGGGGCGAGGAGCCGCAGAGAGTGAAGCAGCCACGCAGCGCCTTGCCGCAGATTCGCCCACTCGGCAGACAGAGGAGAAACGCAACGCGCGCCCAGGTACAGCTTGCAACGAGCGAAAGTTGGCATTTTTCTACAATGCCATTTTGGTGGCAATAAAATCAGATTATTTAATTATGGTTTCATAATTATTAACATTCACCATTTAAACATTTGAAAATGCTTGTGTTGGTTAAATTTGATGTAAAAAGTTAATTAGTTTAACTTTATTCGCTTAACATTCTCTCAATCAAATAACCCTTCCTTTACATTTATATTAAACTTCCAGTATCTACAAAATTGTTTCTCTTGATTATATTTTATTTATGTAATGAATGATGGACGAACGGACGGATAGAGAATAATGTAAATGTCGAACATATTATCAATAATTAATATTATAACAAGTAAACTAACGTTTGGACCAATCAATACATGTCTATTGAAGAAATGACATTCACAAACTATTACAATGGAAGCAAATTTGAGTTTACTAGAAATGTGTGTCCTCGCTGGGCCAGTCTTAATGATAGCTCTGAAAAGTCTTCTATAAGGTCTGGAATTTATATTTCATTGACACTTGTTTATCTTGTATTGAAACTATTTGGTTTATTTACACCATTGCCTTATATTTGAAAATTAATTTTATAATGTATTTGACTTCGTGTAAATGGTATAAACATGTTTGCGCGGTCTCTGCTTCTACGACTTCTCTGCCGCTTGATACATATTATCATGCTTCCTGTTTCCCAAGATATCCGTCGACCCTGAAAAAGACATCAGAAACGCCATTTTTATAAGCGGTAGAGTTTAGAAACACTTAACCTATGTAAGTGCTTTTCATTTCAAAATATTAATAGTGCATGATTGTCTATAAAGTTTAATTAGCATGCAGCAGTTTAGGTCTAAATGGTTGGCTTTTAGTCGACAAGAACTCAGTGAATTTTCAGTAGCAGTTTGGAGAAAAGAAAGTTTCAGCATTTGTTTCCTTGTTCACTCAGTCACCATTTAAAAGGCAATATTCACGAGCCCCTTCATTAATTTATCTACACCCCAGACTTGCTAGTCGTATCATATATTTTTCCTTTTCTACTTGTACACAACCAAATAAATTCAATATCATCACTTTGTTATCTTGTTTAAAGAAAATGACTTTCTTATTCTCGCGCAATCTCATGTCTTGCGTTTTTTACTGTGCTACCTGCTGCTTCGATGGGCTGTTTGTTAAAACTGCCCTTTCCACTTTCTCAAATAAATTTTATCTCGAACGCTTTAGGAAAACTTGTCAGTCGTCTCGTTAAACATTTCAGTTCCATTGTATCTGGTGTTTATAGATATATTATCTGATGAAGAGTCTTCAATACTATTTTGCACAATGTTGCTGGAATAGAGTTCGCTTGTAGTTTACTGCAATTGCCAGGGCATCGGATGGTGCACAATATCACTTCGATTTACATAATTTCCTTTCCATTACTTTCTGTGGACGTGAAATAAAAATGTAAAATAATTCTTAGCAACTTTCTCAAATGGACCAGTCCAATCAAGGCAACCTTCCGTGATCCCATTTCGGTAACTCTTTGAAATACAAGGGACAGATGAAGTTGCACATCACTCAACTACGTCAAGAGCAGGATTAGTCGTACTATCGTATTAGAAAGCTAATGGAGTACATTTTGTAAAGAATAGCATACAAGTTGCTGTTACCTACTCTCTCTACCTCACATTAAGTAAAGAGAATATATATATACATATATATATATATATATATAATATATATCACAAAATAGTGAGGCCTCTTACAAAAATCTCATTAATAGAATATCTGTTCATTGAAATGACTTATTTAATCTCATTAGATTCATCCACAAGCATTGAACAACCCGATGATCCAAATGTAGCCTAAGCTTCGAAATACGTTGCAGCTCAATTTAGGCGACGGTTCAAATTACTTCCTCCAAACGGTGTAAAGAGTATAAAAATTGGCAGTTTTTCGCTGGTAGAATTTAATGCAATGTGACGCATTGTGCTCGAGCAAATTTTCAAAAAGGAAAATTTTCAGGAATTTTGAATTTGAAACACGTAAATGCGGCAATCCTGGTTGGGTTGCAATAGCAAAAATGGTCAACAAAACTACACAAAATGGTTTCCCGACCAGAAACCATCCACACTGCCACGAACAAGTAAATAAAATATATTATCAGGAGAATGGTCGAGGATTAATTATAGTGAGTCAGTTCAGTTCAGCAGCTATGTAGCTACCGCTAGGGCCAGCCGTCAGAGCCATGCAGTGCAACCAACGATGCCCTGCGGCTCCAAGCCCGAGCGAATTGTTTGAGAACAGCACATAACTCGAGGGAACGAACCAATCTAGCAGCTTGCGTGGCCGTGCTCCCGTGGCGCCCGCATCCGAAATGCAGGGCTTGATGGGCGGGGGCGGCGGCGGCGCCGGAGAGTCGCGTCGCCCGTGGCCGCCGGCGGCGGCGCAGCGGGAGGGGGCGGGGCGGGGGCGGGGGGCCGGGCGGGGACGCGGACATCCGGGAAGGAGCCTTGGAACGCGAGTGGCCACGAGATACGGGAGCGGCTAGATCGCTGATGGGTTGGCGAGAGCGAGGGAGGGGTAAATTGATAGAGGGGGAAAGGGCAACGGCGCTGCACACTACGCAGCACGACAGGATGAACATTAAGAAAAACTAACAGAACAGAACGTTCCATCAGACGCGCAATTAGCTAAAGAAATCGTTCATTATATTTTGTTGAACAAAAAAAATATTGCCATATAGGCAAAAATTCGATGTCGATTATTTTTGCCGCATGAAGCTCAAACTCATTAACTAGTATCATGCTTTTCCTCCGCATTCCTGTTAGATACGCGTCGTCATGCTAAGGTAAAGTACTTCTGCAACTTAATGCAAGCATGCAGTGAATGAAACCGAATATTCATGAGTTAATGACGCGAGAGAGGAGCTATACGTGAGAAAAGGAGTTAGTTCCTCAAAAAGGGAATGTCAAGAGGTTTGATTGATTATGATCTCTGAGAGCATCAACTGCTGAGTCAATCTCCCGTGAGTGTAGCTGCGTGATTTTTTCGCGGGACATGGCGGTTATCTTCCCCTCTAGATGGCGAGATCCAGATTACAAGGGTTTCCCACTCAGGTACCGCGCAACCAGCTCCAAGCTGCGACAGGTTCCCGACTTGTGTATTCGTGTATATAGGCGAGAGGATGGAGAAGGAAGAGGAAGGAAAGATTCGCGCGCGGGTCCGTGACCTAATTTGCTAGGATACTTGGTCCGCATTCGCCTGGTGGTGAATGGAAGAAACCACGGAGAACTACTATCAGAGCAGCCAGTCTCTAGAACTCTCCGTCAAGACAGCGACTGAACTCCACCCCAGCTGACAGCATGGCCAAGATTTCCTGCACTGTCGGGGTGGAAACCCTAGAACCTCCCGGTGAAGAGCACATCAGTTTATGCCTGAGCTAACTTTTGCTAGTAAACCTAAAGGCATGGCCGGAATATCAAAGGAGCGAGAAAGATTGGTGGCTGATTCCCCGCAAATGCCTTCTCTATTTTTCGATTTTTATTCGAATAATATTTGTAGTAATTAATGAACGTACTTTCCACGTCAGATAATGTTTAAAAATTTGGTAGTTATATTAACTTAAGTTATATACTTATAGTTAGGTGAATAATGTTTATCAATATTGTTCATAACTAGCAAACGTGTATCAAATTGGATGGAAGAGAAAAGACAAAGAAATTACGTAATGGAATATGGCCTTTTCCCGAAACGCATTCCGCCGCTCACACAGAGCCGCGGCCCGGCCCGCGCCACGGCCTCGTCGCCGTCGGCGGTTGGGGCGCCACTCAGCGCGCGCGGCGCGGAGGCACTGTAACGGACGGGCGGGGCGGGGAGGGGCAGGGCGTGGGGGCCGGGGTGGGCGGAGCGCGGGGGGGCGGGGCGGGGCGGGGCGGGGCGGGGCGGGGCGGGGCGGGGCAGTGGCGGGAACGAAGGGCGGCGACGGGCTTCGGTGTCGGTGCCGTGCGGGGGCGGGGCAGTGGGTGTGTGGCGGCAGTGAGGCGGGAGCGGTGGGGTGGCGAGGGGTGGTGGCGGGGGGGGGGCGAGGCAAGAGATAGGGAGAGCGCGGGGCGTGGAGGAAGGGCGGGCGCTTCCGACGCCGCCGGCGCCGCGAGGGAGGGGAAAGGATGGGGCGGCGACGCCGCGGAGGAAGCCGCTTGCGCAAACGCGGGGGAGGCGGGAGCTCGAACGACATCCATGTTTTGAGTGTTTTAGATAAAAATGTTGATGCTTTAAACCGACAAGGGTGGTTCAGGGCATCGACTGATGTCACTGCAGTGCCTCTATCCGGGATATCCTAGGGTTAGCGTCGCGAAGGTGGCAGGATGTTCGACACTAGGCAGGTAGGGCGAGTTGAGCCGCTGTATGGAGAAGAATTTTAGTAGTTGGCTGCGCTGATTGAAAGTTTTCCGTGGTTTCTCCAATGAGGAGAAATACCAGGCCAGTACCAGGCGAATGCCGGAGCAGCACCCTAACAAACGGGCCACGGATCGTGCGCGGCCTTTCCTTCCTCTTCCTTGCCCTACCCTCACACTTACTTACACACACTCACACTCACACTACTACGCAACTGCACGCGCTGGGTACTTAGAGTCTGTCCCAGCTGGGGCAGTGCCCCGCTGGCGGGAGATACCTGGGTGGGGAAGTCACCGTCAGTTGTCGCAGATCGGCGCCGGATCTCGTCACCGAGCGGGGGAAGATTCCCGCTCGCTCCCACGATAAAAGAGCAAGCGCTGCATTGGCGGACTAAACATGCACTTTACATACGGGAGCAGAGATCCACGTGACTAATCAATCAATCCACGTTTTAACGTAGTTGCATTATAGGCGATGTTTTTTAACATCGATACACGAAACTGCTGTAACCCTAAGCAAAGTACCTCTCAGTAGAAAGCTGTTCAAAGGGTAAAATAAATGAAAACCTGTCATAATTTTCTCTTATCAGTGGAACGTTCAGTTTTTCATGCTAATGTGGCCAAGGGTGAAGGATTTGGAAAGAAGGAAATTAATTCTAGGAGATCCTCGCTTTTAGATAAAAGGCAACGTTGCCCTTGCCGAATACGTGCCAACCCATCCTAACGATTGGATTTGTTCGAGAAACCGAACGTAATCCTTCCCTTTTCTTGTTTTAGATGAATCAGGTGATTGTTAGGGGGTTCAGTAATGGCTAACATGCACGGAAGTTACAGGGAGAATGAAGTAGATTAATTTCTTTCCCACATATAATCTTAATACAAAGTTTTCATGATCTTCAGTATTACATGCTTGTTTTGAAACCTATAATTTTCTTTACACTGAAAATAATGTAGAACATAAATATGTACAGGAATAAATACGTATTAAAAAATAATATAGCCCGAGTGTACTATCAGAGTGGAACTCGTCAACGAATGTACTTATTTTGGAAGTATTCAATCTGATATTAATTTTTGTTTGTACATTTTTATTTTTGTTGGTTTTGCAGTTTAGTTATTATTATATTTTAATAAACACGGTCACTGTGAAAGTTAGTCTTCCGCACGAAGGTCACGAAACCAGGTTTGAAAACAAGGATGGTTTTGGAGCGGTGTATTATTAACATTCATGTTTTAAATTTTCAACATGGGCGCTTTCAAACATCGATGTTTTCTTGGCGAAGTTACCTGTGTACGGGTGGCCGAGGCGAGCGCCACTTTCGCCCCCGCAGTCACGCATCTCCGCTTCACGCGAAGTGAAGGCTGCCGCTCAAGCATTTGTTGAACAAGATTGGTGGTAACCTCTGAAATACTGTAGGATTCCATTAAGAGGAGGAGAAAGGGAAGTAATCTAATGTTGAGATAATTGTTTCCTCATCGTTGATGTTCACTTATTAGAAATTAAAGAATACACAAGTAGGTAAAAAAATGAGAAAGATAAATTACATGACAACCGAAACATTTACTTTCTGCTTCCTAGCTATTAAGCCCCTTTCTCATGTTGAGCACGGTACTTGGGCAAGTAATTGAATTGTACCTGCCGACCAAAATGGTCCCAGCTCGGCTCCTCGGTCGGTATGGTCGCGGGTTCGATGCCCGCTGCGGGCATGGTTGTGTGTCCCTTGCCTTTCACGTGCGGAAGGCCTTGCGGGTCTACTGAACGAGGATCCCTCTAGTGTGTTGGTGTCTCGTTGATGTGAGACAGATGTCATTCGGCGGATATTCGGAATTGGCATACCCAGAAGCTGGAGAAAGCCTCAGGAAGAAGAAGCGCAAAAATCCTTCCCCCAAAAACAGTTTTCCAAAAAGTAGCACGCTCGCTGCTTAAGAATGAAAAATAAAATACTCTACTATAACACTGCAATAAATTATTTTAACGAAAATTCAACGTCGTTACGTTTACTGCTATAACAGTATAGTATGCACACAGTACAAAAGTTTGGTGCATTCCAAGAATATAAAAAAAGTTTCTCTTCTATAACGCAACACGTGAATAGCAAATATTTAATGACGGACGGCTTCTTCCTTGCTGTCCTACTATCGAATAACTTCAGCTGTGTCGTAAGCAGTACTGAGTATGCGAATTAGATGGAATAATACAATCAAATATTTCCTTTTTTTGAAGAAAATCGATGCTTTTTCCATTTTGTATTTTTCGCAAGTTCCTGGGTATCGAACAAGAGCACAGACCCTCTCACAAGGCTGGGCATAGATTTTTTTCAAATTCTGCGCGCAATGGAAATCAGTAATGTAGGTTATTTTCTAGTGATATTTAAGTGTGAATAGTATTTGTCAATATAGTTTAATACTACACTTTTTGTGGTAGATAACGTAATTTTCTCTTTCTCTATGGTCTAAGTTACATTAACTTCGTATAATTTTTATTTTTCCTGTAATTATTGAGAATATTGGGATCTCACCGAAGCTGTATTTTGTTTGATTGCAATTCGCGAGCAGCTAAATATAACAACTGCATCCAGGTTATGCGTCGCAGTTTTCCCCCCGAGAGTAAATTATTTTCAGGAACTGTCTCGTAAATGAGGGCTGCCAACATTGCCTCCAACAAGACATTTCTATCTTCAATCGGCAATTCAATGTTACTTAAATTACGTATTACTGAAAATTGTAATTGGAAATTGTACGGCGCTTGCTATGAAAGCTCATGTTCTTCCCTAGAGTTTACCTGACAAAGAGCCTGACCCGAACGAACGATTGACTTTACTTGTTTTCCATTCTTGGTGGAAAACATACAAATTACAAATGTTAATGGTTAACATGTTAAGGGACAGGCCACACTTTTATTTCCAGATATATTTGTGATTTACGATACATGACAACGATGTCTCTAGTATCTGAAGGAAAATTATCGATAATTTAAGAATCAGAGGTATTGCAATGGAAGGACAACTACGTAATAATTAAATGATCATGTTAAAGGGCTTTGCCGTTTGCAAATTTGTCTTTATTCATAAAAGAGAGAGAGAAAGATATGGATTAACAATGAAGACATATATCTATTTCAAGTGTATTGATTTTGTCTAGAATGTTTCTTGACGCTTTTGAAATTAAATTTGTTTATATGCTGGAATGATATTCTACTTGCATCCAAAAGCTTTTTCTTTAGAAACTTCACATATGATTTTTACATAAAAGTTTACATTCAATTTTGACTATTGACAAAACTTTTTGTCTTTTCCTTAATTTTAAATTGCGAATTAGTATTAATCCTTACTGAGAACAGAATTATCGATACTCGTAATGACATGCAATCATGTTTCGGATGGGGTCGCAATGTTTCCGCTCGCAGCTCGACCCTTCGGCTAAGGTGGTTTCTGGGGATGCACATTTGTTCCCTCCCTCCTTCTCTCATCTTTCTCTCTCTTTTCTCTTCCTCTCCCCCTTCCTCCTCTCCTTCTCTCTCCTCTCCCTCCCTCTTCCTTCTCTTCTCCCTCCCGCTCTCTCTTCCCTCTTCTCCCATCCCTTTTCTCCCTCGCCTCCCCCTCTCCCTCCTTTCTCTCCCTCCTCTCCCTCCCCCTCTCTCCCTTCTCTCTCCCTCACCTCTCCCTCCCTCTCTCTCTCCCTCTCTCCCCCCTCTCTCCCTTCCCTTTCTCTCCCTCCCCTTTCTCTCCCTCCTCTCCTCCCTCTCCCTCTCTTCTCCCTCCTCCTCTCCCTCTCGTTCTCTCCCTCTCCTCTCCCTCTCTCCCTCTCTCTCCCTCTCTCTCATCCCTTTCTTTCTCCTCTCTCTCCCTCTCTTCTCCCTCCTCTCTCCCTCTCTCTTCTCCCCTCTCTCTCCCCCTCTCTCATCCCCCTTCTCTCTGTCTCTCTCTCTGTCTCTCTCTCTCTGTCTCTCTCTCTCTGTCGCTCCTCTGTCTACTCTTCTCTGTTCTTCTCGTCTCTCTCTGTCTCCTCCTCCGTCTCTCTCTCTGCTCTCTCTTCTTGTACTCTCTCTCTGTCTCTCTCTCTCTCTGTCTCTCTTTTCTTTTCTTTCTTCCTTTATTTTTGTTATCTTTCCTCCTTTCTTTTTCTTTGTGCAGTCATGAAATGAATGATTTAAATAAATCTCTGGGATGCTTGTAAGTTTACTTCGCCTACCTCGTGACTGTGAGGATAACTCGCGCCTCAGCCGTGATTGGCTCTGCTTATGTCGACGCACCTTCAATGAAAACACTGAGACGGAGGAAGGAAAACGCGGGGGCTGGAATTGTAGGTTACGTAGGTGTACGCAACCTAAAAGAAGAGGGAACAACTACAATTCTCGGCTGAACTTTTTATTTACTTACAACATATTTTAGTAGTAAATTCCTGTAGTTTCAACTGTGTAGTAGTAATTACTACTGCTTATTACTGCATTAATAAGTTTAATGATAGAATTACTTACAATTGATTACATGTTGAACCCTTTACTCAGTTGCAAGATGGCTTGAAAAATACGGGTTTCTAATAAAATAATTTGTTCCCCCGACCAAAATTTGCACCAACCAAAAACGAAAGAAGTAGGACAACTAGTGGGGCTAAACAGCATATACTTTCTCCTCCTATTATCCCGCAAAATTACGCGAAAAGTACGACAATTTTCGAAAAATTGTTCATGACTTTATTTCAAAACCTGTCTTCATGGAATAGATTTTTTTAACGGAAACAATCTCTATCTTCATAATTGTAGTTGTAGGAAGAAGCCGAATACATTTCGAATTTTTGTAATTTTCAAAAAATCAAAGTTTTTAACGAACATGAGACATGCACCATGCTCGTAAACGTTATTGATACAATCTATCAACTAAATGTAATAAGAAACGATGGAGCCATTTTTTAAAAAATATTCCAGGAGTTCCATAAAAAGTACTCCTCAAAATTAAAATATCGGTTTCAAATTCCAGGGGCTTCGACATCGGTTAGATCGATTGGGGAATACAAAGTTTAGAGAAAATCGACTGATTGGCTTAGCCGCTCGCGTAGACGGACAGAGGTATTGTGCTCCTTCGGTTTCTTCGGCATCAAGGACCCACAAATCATGGATTCAGGCTACGCCCCGTGTCTATATTTAACAACTGAATGTTTCCACTATTTCTATAGCAGGGCGCTGTAATGAGAGTTGTTCTGCCGAAATGTTACATAACTCTCCTTCTGCGTGAGCGGCAGCGAGAAAGTAAAGGCGCAGATGAGAAAGAAGTCGCTGCAGGAAATGAGGAGGGCGACGCAGGGGCAGAGGAAGAGGATTGGAGGGGCGGAGGCGGAAGCGCGCGGCTCGTTGAGGTCATGCGGAGGGCGGGTGGACGTCGGGCTGCGGGACGAGTGATTAAGGCCAGGCGATCGCCCTGTCAACTGCCCTCCGCCCCCGGGGCGTTTTAAGGCGCCACTTCTGGAGCATCTCGCGGAGCGACGCCGATGGCTCCCTCCCATCTAGGCCAATATCCTTCACACTTTCTCCCACGCGCGGAGAGCGCCGTTGTATTTTTAGACGCAGCGAGAAACATATGAAACGTACGAAAACACTGGACTCGCTTTTCTCACGTTGCGATAAATCTAAAAATAGCACACTCGAAAGAGGCGCGATGCGGCTTGTTATTTTGTCAACGGATTTAGAGGAGCAGCTCGTGAATCATTTTGGCCAAATCCCTGGTTGCG